CCCGGGCGGGGAAAGAGCGACACCCGGTCGGCGGTTGGAAGCCGCGAGTTGGTTTTGCTCCTCACCCGAAACACTCCTTGGGCTCGCCGCGCCGTCCCGCACACACGCCGTGCTTCTGTCTCCGGTGGGACTTTTTAGCCGAGGCGTGCTCGGCCGCCTTCCCCAGGGCTCCCGCCGGTGCCGGGGCGGTGTCCGTCCCGTTTGCCCCGCCAGCACACACACCTTCCCCCGCTCTCGGGAACCCGGAGGTGGTCCACGCGTTAGTGGGCATCGAACAATCCATGTCAAAACTTGGGACAAAAAAAACCCCAAACACCCACCAAAAATCCCGTGTTTCACCAATTGTACCGCTGGCAGAATTCCTACGGATTTTGATACGGCGTAAATGCAAACACCTGGTTTGGTGAGGGATTTGTTTTGACGTTTCAGAAAGCTAAGCAACAAGTTTATGTTAGGTTAAGACTTGTTTTCCGCTTGATTTCAGGAAAACAGTTACTTAGGGAACTCACGGAGATAAATTGCATAAAGCAACAAAAAGAATGAAGAAAGTTCCATCGATGCTGAAAAAAGATTGTTTATCTTAGTCGGTACTGTTGTGCAGTATCAGTCAAGATTTATGGTTCTGGAAAGTAGCAGATAGTGCAAAAAATTAATTAGGAAAGCAGCTAATAGCAAGATCTTTGTCTCCTTTTTTCCAAAAGGTTGTCATCTCTTAGTGTAGCAATGGTTTAAGAAAAAAGACAATTTTGAAGACTGAATTCTCTCTTCCTTTATTTCCAGAGCCAGCAGACAGCATTCTGGACAGCAGAAACTCCTTAGAGTTGTACAAGCTCACCTTCTAGTTGGTTTGGAAGTTCTGGTCTTTTACAGGCAGATCTTTTAAACTGTTGCCACAGCAAACTCTGGGCATGTAACAAACTAAGGACAGAAAATAATACATCTAGAGGTATTCCGATCTCTCAGTCTGCCTTGTAAGCGCAGGCAATACAGAATTCTTCAGAGTCACTCATACCCATAAGTAAATGCCCAGGCAACCGATTATATTTCCTTAAAGTATTTGCCCAAATGTATTTCTTTAAGAAACATCTGTTGCCCTTTTTTTTCTTAAGGAAGTGGGTAGTTAATGTAATGACCATGCATTTTGCTCAGAAAACCTCAAACCTGAACAGAGCTGTTTCTTGACTTCAACTTTACTTCGAAAAGGACTGAAATTATCTTGGCTGAGGTTTACATCAGCTACTCTATTTCTCAACAACAAAGACAGACATCGGTCCTGTTTGATTTTAGTACACTTGACTAGGTTATTGCCTGCTTTGGTAACATAGTGTAATTTAGAGTGATGTTAAAAAGTGTCCAGCTCTCTTAGTTACCAGTTACCTTCCTCAGAGAAGTTGTCGTCTTTGAAAATACAGGTTCTTATTTTGCATTGAAATGGACGCAATTTTCTGTTCACGTTAGGCTGTTTCAGCAAGTCCCTAGCTGCCATTGACAAAATTCTTTGCTCTTGACTCGGAGTTAAGGTTCAATCTAACAGTTGTGGCTTGAGCTGGGGAAAAAGCGAGGGGTGTTCCCAAATAAGTGCTGACAAAGCTCAGGTTTGGGTTGGATCCTTTTGTTTGTTTGGGTTTTTTTACTGCCTTTTGTAAGTGACACTAAAGGCCTTCTTGCCTGATATTTGGACAGCTAAGCTTTTGCTAACAGAATTAATACACACTTTTAGGAAGTAAACAGAAAAATACTGACTCAACGTAACTAAGAAACTGTCAAATATGTTGAAAATACTAAGAAGAAAGCACCCTTTACCCTAAAGAGTAAAGGATAAAAACTGTCTTCAAGAAAAAGCAAAAAGCCATTCTGTTTGATTTTCAGTCACCAACAAATTGAGTTTTGAGGGTTCTGTTGAACTTTGTAGTTGTAGAAACTAAAAAGTATTTTACTGACTCATGAGGAACTTCAGTCTCCTAAGTTCATTGGACTTTAAGATGAAGAACCTTTCAATAATAGTTTCACATTAGCACACTTTGACAGCAATTTTTTCTTTTTTTTTTAGCTTTCAGGTAAAGTTTATCGAAGGCAACAATGGAACGATTTGGAGTGAAGTCCGCTCCATCACGTAACCGCTCGAAGACTGCTTTGTACGTAACTCCTCAGGATCGTGTAACTGAGTTTGGCAGCGAGCTGCACGAAGATGGAGGAAAACTCTTCTGTACTTCCTGCAATGTGGTTCTGAATCACGTTCGCAAGTCTGCGATCAATGACCACCTCAAGTCTAAAACACACACAAAGCGAAAGGCGGAGTTTGAAGAACAGAACGTCAGGAAGAAGCAAAGGACTCTGACTGCCTCCCTTCAGTGCAACAGTACTGCCCAGACAGAGAAAACCAGCGTCATCCAGGACTTCGTCAAAATGTGCCTGGAAGCTAATATTCCACTTGAGAAGGCTGATCATCCTTCTGTGCGAGCCTTCCTCTCCCGCTACGTCAAGAATGGCAGTTCGATACCTAAGGCAGACCAACTAAGGAAAGCATACCTGCCTGATGGGTATGACAATGAGAACCAACTCATCAACACTGAAGATCGTTGAGAAGAAAACTGTTTTCGTCATTGTTGTGAAGTTTTACATATTGATGGTGTGGTTTATTTTTATATTCATGCATATATACAGTGTTACATATTGGTTTTACAAGCTATTTTGTATTATTGTAGAAATGACAATCTATTTGTGAACTCAGTGGTATGCCACAGACTGTTGCTACCCTGCCGTAGACTTCAGAGCTACATGGATGTAGAACTCCTGATGAATGCAGGGAACATACCTGGCGTACCCCTTATCTATGTTCAGTCCAGCTGTAACTGATGCTAAGAAAAAGGCACTTGGATGGAGAACCTCGCTTACCTAAACTGTGCATCTAAATATACGAGGAAGATGATGCGATAGGGATTGTTAAATCATGTCAGTGGATTGCTTTGTCCAATATCCTGTCCGTGAGTGACCAAGAAGAAGTACTGCACATTTGAAATACGAGAAGCTGTAGAGTGGTCGGTTAAAATATAACTGCTCTGTTAGGGGAAGATTGTTGCAAATTCCTATTCGAGTTGGGATTATGTTCTAAAACAGGAAACATTTTTCTTCTGGCATACTCTCTTATCCTGTTTGGTGCAACTGTGGATGTATTCATTATCTAGCTTAAATAGCCGATCTCTTGTATTGACCTGCGAACTCCGCTATTCTCATAAAGCTAGGAGTTCTGCAGATTTACCCATGCCTGCTTTTTTAAAATCGCTATTCCAGTGTCTCGGTTTAACATGTCCCCTTCAGTTTCAGTGCCAATCTTTGAAAGCTGAGTAGACAAACCAGTCACTGAACGTGGTTTGCAGTGCAGCTGCTGGCAAGTGAAACTTATACTGGACCAAGATCTTAGTAGAGAGGATTAATGCCTTTTTCTTACTAGCAGGACAAAGGATGCTAAATCTAAATTGGGAATGGGGGAGGCAATAAATTACGGAGTTGAGAAGGCTTTTTTACAGTGCATAGGAGAAGAGGCTCCTCCATCTTTTCCTGAAGGTCCCCTGCATCTCTGGCCTTGTCCTCAGCCTTTTAGTCAAAGGAGGTAAAGTCATTAAAATAGTTTTCAAAATAGTTACTGCAAAGGCTATTCAATACCTGTAAGCGCAAATAGGAAAGCATGTATACTTTGAAGCTATACTGGAATTACAGACCTGGGCTGTATTTCTTACTCGGTGCCAAGGCCACATCTATTGGCCTGGCAAAAATGAGAAATTGGAGAATTTCTATAATGTTGCCCTTTCCGAAATCTAGTAAACTGATATTCCAAACTATTATGCCAAATAGTACACTCGATCTAAGTGCTCTATAAAGTTATTGAATGGAATGAGGGAACATTGGGCAAAGTGCTGGAATACGACCAACTTCTGCCTGCCCTCGATTTCCTTGAGATGCTCTGGATTCAGGGAGGTGCCAAGCATCTTCTGGTAGCACAGAAATCCTCGGCTCGGTGGATACAGTGGTGTAAGCATGCTTTAAGTCCCTCAGGAGGAGCCAGTTGTTCTGTTCAGCTTCCTTTCCCCAGTAGAGTTTCACAGTATCTGTTTCTCAGTATTTCTTTTATTCCAGATACTTACAGCAATACTAAGTAATTGCTAAAAAGAGACAAAATAAGCTGCTTATTTTGTTTCTGTAGCTATTGCCCTAGCTATTTTTAGAGCGATCTCTTTTGCTGGATTGAGAGGTATTTACATGCTCAGTAACAACTGGTTTTTGTGCAATTAGCTTCTACAGAAATGCACTTGTGTTACATTATAACCATGCCTGGTAGCCTTCTGCTATGAGACCTGTTTGAATAAACGGACGAAACTAAAAAGCAGAAGGCTGCCTATCTGTGTGTACCAGTACGGGAGTGCTCGGTACACTGCTGCACCTTTGGTCCCTCTTGAAGCTGGTGGGACTCCATGCTATCATAGCAATCCTGTCACTGATATTGGTTGCTGGTTTAGAACTTCAGACAGAAACAATAGTAGTAATTTTTTTCTGTAATCCTAAATATCAAAAAATGCCTTCCAAAATATCGTTTGCTATTGCACAGGCTTGGGTTTAGGTTAAGATCATGAACTGCCTTGGGCTAGAACTGTTTCTAAATCCTCTTAAGCCAAGTGAAAGGTACACTGCCAATAGCCTGTTCTGTCCTGACAGTAATTGAAAATATTCTTTTACAGCTGCCCTTTTGTTACAGCGAAACAACATCCTTGCTTTAATTTTTTTTTAATTTCTTTTTACCTTATGAATGCTATCTTAGAATTGAAACAAATAGAAAACAATGGAGTATTGAGAAAACAGGCTTCCGTTATACAAAAGCATCTAGAGGAGATGGTATGATTAAAAGGTATGAATTTGGGCTTGTTAGCTCAGTACTTGCTGACAGGGGATTTAACAGGCTGTACCCCATAACCATTTTATATAGGATTCAATGCTGTACGTTTTCCCCTTGACTGACATACTGACAGACATTTTGAAAAGCTTAATGGTAACAATAGGCTCTTGCACATCTGGGAAAAAAAATCAAGTTACTTTCACTTATACGATTTTACATAACAATAAAAGGTAGCAACATCAGCAGCTTTTGTTAAAAAACAAGGTCGTTTTCTATAAGGCAAAAAGCAGTATCAGAACACTTGGTTTCTCAAAAGCTTACTCTACTTATAAAGCAGTCTGTGTACAGAGCCTCAATTTACAAAATTAATACAATTCTGTAAGTATTTTCAGTAATTATTCTAGTGCCAATTCATTTTTTATGCAGAATTACTGCAGAGGGGACAAGCCTGGTGAGGAATCTCGTCAGTGTAGCCATAGGCTACTAAGTCATAACAATTTGGAAGCAAAAATTGGTCATCAGGAGTTTGAATGGAACTGACTTAATTCCAATGCACAGCAGTTTGTAGGACACTGGTGTATTAATAATAGGATATTTTTGTTAAAAAAAAAAAGCCTCAACATTTTTCAAGCTTTTTGAAAACTCAAGATACTGCTCCATTGCAACAAACATTCATAATGGAGTAAAACAATGAAAAATAAAGCACTTCCAAGTAATCTAGAAAGAATAATAAGTAAGTTTGCGTTCATGGACATAACCCAGATCATCAAGACGACATTTACAGTTATTTTCTTTAAAAGTAAAAACGGTTCTTCTCAGTCTTGAAACAGAGTCCTGCAAACACTCAAGTTCAGAGCATAATTTTGCCAGTGTGGCTATAGTTGGATAAAGCATAACCTTGGTTTAATTGCTACATTGATCTTAGGGAAGATTTACAGTGGAAGTTTTCTGGTATATCTAAACCTAAGTAATAGCCAATTCCTAGAACAGAAGCTGTGGTTAAGTTGTTTAACAGTCTCCATGGGGTTTTCCTTTCTTCTGCAAGAACACTGCATTATTTTTCCATTTATTTCCTGTAAAGAGTACTCTCAGAAGTAAAAGGAGGATGGTGGCAACGTCTGCTTTTCATTTTACATACGTATGTAGGGACAAGCTATAAGGGATACTTTTTGCCAGGTGGTTTTATTAATATATTTGAAGCTCTAAATGTTATATTAAAAAAAATAAATATTTTCCTCTCTGACCATGTACTTATATTACTTTAGCCAACTCGCAGCTAAAATTACTCCAAAGTGCTTTTCTTGGAACAACACTTTCAAAAAATAAAATACAAACAGGAACATTCTCTATTTTGTGACTGCTTACATGTATGCACCATGGTAGTTTCAGCTTGCGCGTTCTTTAAAAAACATGAGCAAGTTCTAATATTTTTAAGCATTTTGAAGCCTATAATTTGGCAGGTCCTTAGAGGAGGTGAAACATTCGCCATAATGAAAGGGAAAGCTGTTTTTCAATTGAGAGAGAAACTTGGTTCTGCAAAGTATGGGATATTCTCATGATAGAAGGACTATTTTTAGCCAGAGCCCCTTTTAGCCATTCTGTTGAACTGCACAGCGAAATGCTCCCTGCTAGGTTTTGCAGCGTAATGATGAGCTGGGTTTTGGGGCAGGTGGAGGGGAGCTGGAAGTTTGGCAAGGATAATCTCTATTTATATTTACACATAAGGAGAGGCAAGGCTCACTGTTGTTGTGTTCACATTGTACTCACTGCTAACTCTTCGTGTAATTTGAGTGCTCGTTGTCTTTGTACAATTTTAAGGTTGTGTCTAACTTTCAAAATAAATTTTTTTTTAACAAAGCTTCTCACTGTAATAACGCTGTTAGAGTTTAGTCTCTTTGGGACTAGTGAAGATGCGTTATTTTTGGTTTGGTGATAGGGATGCTTTGCTGATGGTAAGTGGCCACAGAAATGGTTTTACTTTAAACAAGCCATGAACTTATGATTAAATAGTAGAGTGAGGCTGAAAATACCTGGGTCCTGCAGTGCCACAAGACTTCCCGTTAGAACAGCACGACCAGAGTAAGTGATTTCAGTTTTTATATTAAAATATTAGTGGAAGAGAAATACTTTACTTTGTAAAGTTTTCACTTGGTAATGGAAAAATGCTCCTTTTCTTAGAACAATAAAGGAATTCCTTCTTCATAGAATTTATTCATGATCTCTTATTTTGCCAAGAAAGCAGGTAAAGAACGTGGTAGTTCACATTTAACGGTAATGTAAGGTAGTAGAAATGGATGGCGACAGGAAAAATTAAAAGAACCTACATGCTCTTCTTGCAGCTTAAGGTAATACCAAACTAAACGTTGAAGCAGTTTGTGGATGTATCCGTACCACCTCACTGAAGTCTGTTTCGGGACTGGTTATAGAGAACCCCTGTTTCCTGCCAAGTATGGGACTTTCTTCATGGTGACAGAAATTCCCTAATTATGCCTTCTGTTGCAAGTGAACGCCAAGTGAAACAATTGTTCTGCATTTTGACATTGCAGTAAATCATTTGTAGGTACAGGACCTTGCAGCTGCCTAACGCTTCAGGTCTTTTCAGGAAGGGCTGCTGCCATGTGGAAGAATCAGGTCTTTGCAAATATTTTTGCAAATGTGTTTGATAGTTTGATCTCCGTCTCCTTTAGGGACTTCATGAAAATTGAGCAAATAACATCAGCCCATCAAAACCGTCAAGTGCAGGTTTGATTGTTTATACGCTCCTTTTTCTGAATTTGTATCTGGCTTGACATCTCACGATGGATCAGTGATAAACTCATGCAGCCTTTTGACTCATGAATTTATTAATCATTACTTCCTCATTTTCAGGTCACAGCACATTAAGATCAAGTTGCTTTTTGTTACCTTTATATCAAATGGAAAAGCAGAATAGAAATAAACCTACCCGTTTGTAAAGTTTTCTTGTGTGAACAACTCCTCTTTGAAACAGCATATGCATACCTGCAAAATCAAGCTATCAGTAAGGATTTGTGTAGAAGCTGATGCAGAATCAAGTGACATAAAGTTTAGTAATTAGGTCATGCTAAATTCTTACGATGACATTTTACTTTCCTAACTGAATCCTGCGGTTTAACCCATATCCAAGATGCAGCAGGATGAAGTATACGTAACTGCTTTTAAGCCACATTTATACCGATAATTAGGTTTGACATTTGTCATTTCCATAGGCTGGACAGCAGGGCCTGGAAGACAGAC